GCATGAGATATTTGGATAATAGGTGGGTGTGATACAGACGGGAACAACAGAGCTAACCGGAACTCTAAAGCAGGCTCTGGAATCCTGTTGTTACAGGAACAGAAAACCGCTTCATCTTATTCTGAAAGTGGCACCAACTCCTAAACATAAAAATGCACCCATCGAGGATGTTACTGTTTTTCAACAGATAACTGACTAGCTTAATAGACTTTCTCTCTGGAGATTTTCACTCAAGTACAATCAGACACCTATATTTGAAGAACAACTACCAAATAATTTTCTAGAAAATGTTGGTTGACTACTTTGTGTAACTTGCCTTATCTATAACATAAGGTCATAAATAATAACCAGGTAAAAGTAAAAATTTCTCTGGGGCCTAAGAAGTCTAATTTATATTGTGAAGCTAATTGATTATTATATTTCTGGCTTTGTAATTACTCTAAGAAAGCTTTTGTTTGAAAAAGTACTTATAAACACGTACACTTTAAATACTACGTTAGAATACTTGAGCGTTTAAAAAATGTTGACTTTGTATCCCATTAATGACTTATATTTATATGGTCTAAACTTACGAATAAGAGCTATAGTTAACACTGACACAGTGCTTATTATTGCCCAAACGCTATTCTAAATACTTTACCTTATTTAATCTTCACCACAACTCTATAAGGTAGAGATCATTATTATCCACATTAGAGAGGTTGAGTGAATTGCCCACGATCACCAGCTAATAAGTAGTAGGGCCAGCATTCAGTACTTTGGTCATTTTTGACTCTGAATGTCCTTCTACCACTTTTTAGGGAAAGCATCTACAAATAAGCACACAGCTTCAGGGCAAATTCTTCCACTAAACACAAGGAAAAGGAGTAGGGCAGCCCTCCTAAGTCAGAAGAACCAACCTCCTGTAGTTTTCCGAGTGCAGGTCTTTTACCTCCTTGGTTAAGTTTATTCCTAAGTATCTTAATTTTTTTGTTGCAATGGTAAATGGGATTGTTTTTTTAGTCTCTCTGAGAGTTCATTATTGGTGTATAAAAATGCCATACATTCTGGGTGTTAATCTTGTATCCTGCTATGTTGCCAAATTCATTTATTCAATTTAGTAGTTTTTTGGTGGAGCCTTTTAGGTTTTCTCTGTACAATAGCATGTCACCTGTGAATGATGATGACACGATATTGAAAGGAGTTTTACCTCCTCCTTTCCAATTTGGATGCCTTTTATTTTTTTCTTATCTGATCACTGAAGCTAGTACTTCCAGTATTATACTGAATAACAGTGGTGAAAGCGGACCTCTCTGTCTTGTTTCTGTGCTTAGGGGAAATGGTTTTAGTTTGTGCCCATTGAGTATGATGTTGACTGTAGGCTTGTCATCTATGGCCTTTATTATGTTGAGGTATGACCCCTCCCAGTTTGCTGAGAGTTTTCATCAAAAAAGGATGTTGGATTTTGTCAGATGCTTTTTCTGCGTCAATTGATATGCTCACTGTGATTTTTGTCTTCCAATTTGTTTATATTGCATCACATTTATTGATTTGTGAATATTGTACCAGCCTTGCATCCCTGGAATAAAGCCCACTTGCCCATGGTGTATGAGCTTTTAATGTATTGCTGGATGCAATCTGCTAAGGTTTTGTTGAGGATTTTAGCATCTATGTTCATCAGGAATATTGGCCTGTAATTGCCTTTCTCTGTAGTGCCTTTATCTGGTTTTGGAATTAGGCTAAGCTAGTCTTGTAAAAAGAGCTTGGAAGTGTTCCTTCCTTTTGGATTTTCTGGAATAGTTTGAGGAGGATAAGTGTTAGTTCTTTTCATATTTGGTAAAACTCCCCTATGATGCCATCTGGACCAGAGGCTTTTGTTTGCTGGAGTTGTTGGTGTTTTTTTTTAATTACTGTTTCAGTTTCATCAGTAGTTATGGGCCTATTCAAGTTTTCTGATCCTTCCTGATTGAGTTTTGGAAGACTGTATTTTTCTAGGAATATGTCCATTTCATCCAGATTGCCCAGCTTGTTGAAATGTAATCGTTCATAGTATTTTTATTTTATTTTATTTTTTACAATCCCTTGTATTTCTGTGGGGTCAGTGTTACTTCACCTCTTGTTTCTGATTTTGTTTATTTGGGTCCTCACTCTTTGTTTCTTAATGATTCTGGCTAAAGGTTCATCAATTTTGTTTATCTTTTACACATTTTTTTAAGTCTCTATCCCATTTATTTCTGCTCTAATCTTTGTCTCCTTACTTCTACTTACCCTGGGCTTTTCTTGTTCTCTATCTAATTCTTTAAATTGTAGGGTTAAGTTGTTTATTATTAATTTTTCTTATCTTTTGAAGTAGGCCAGTAGTGCTATGAACTTTGCTCTCAGGAGTACTTTCACTGTGTCCCACAGATTTTGGGTTGCTGTGTGTTCATTTTCTTTTGCTTCCAGGAAATTTTTTTCTTTCTTTCTTGATCTCTTTGGTAACCCATTCATTGTTTAATAACATGCTATTTATCTTCCATATATTTGAATGTTCTTAAGTGTTTTTATTATAGTTGATTTCTAATTTCATGCCAGTGTGATTCAAGAAGATGCCTGATATAATTTCAACCTTCTTGAACTTTCAGAAACTTAATTTGTATCCTAACATGTGGTCTATCTTTGAAAATATCCCATATGCACTTGAGAAGAATGTATACTCTGTATCTTTGGGATGAAATGTTCTGTAAATGTCAATTAATTCCATCTCATCTAGTGTGTCATTTAGGATTTGTTTCTTTGTTGGTTTTTTTGTCTAGAAGATCTATCCAGTGATGTTAGTGGGTGGTGAAGTCCCCTACTATGATTGCATTACTGTTCATCTCTCCTTTAAAGTCCTGCAGAAGTTTTTATATATATATATATATATATATATATATATATTTTGGATGCTCCTGTATTAGGTGCATATATGTTTACCAGAGTTATTAGCCTCTTATTGTATCGATCCCTTTAGTATTATGAAGTAAATTTCATTGTCTCTTGTTATGGACTTCACTGTGAAGTCTATTTTGTCAGATATGAGTATTGCTACCCCAGCTTTTTTTTTTTTTTTTTTTTTCATTTCCATATGCCTGGAAAATTTTTTTCATCTCTTCATTTTCATTCTGTGTGAGTCGTTTGTTCTAAGGTAAGTTTCTTGTAGACATCATATATATGGGTCATGTTTTCTAATTCATTCAACTACTCTATGCCTTTTAATTGGAGTATTTAATCCATTTACACTTAAGGTTATTATTTATAGGTACTTATTTGTTGGCATTCTTACTCTTTATGCCTGTGTACTTCTCTTTCTCTCTATTTCTTCAAAGAGATAGAGAAAGATATAAACAAGTGGAAGAAACTAATGCGTCCACAGATTGGTAGAATCAACATCATTAAAATGTCCATACTCTCCAAAGCAATCTATACATTCAATGCAATCCCAATGTCATATTTCACAGATCTAGAACAAACACTCCAAAAATTTATATGGAACCAAAAAGATACCTAATAGCTGCAGCAATCTTGAGAAAGAAGAACAAAGTTGGAGGGATCACCATACCAGATAACAAGTTATACTACAAAGCAACTGTATCAAAACAGCCTGGTACTGGCACAAGAACAAGCATATAAATCAATGGGAGAGAACAGAGACCCCAGAAATTAACACAAGCCATTATGTTCAATTAATATTGACAAAGACAAGAGCATACAATGGAGTCAAGGCAGTCTTGTCAATAAATGCTGTTGGGAAAACTGGACAGGTACATGCAAAAAAATTAAACTAGACCATAAATTTACATCATACACAAGAATAAACTCAAAATGGGTAAAAAGACCTAAATATAAGTTGTGAAACCATAAACATCTTAGAAGAAACCATCTCGGACATCTCTCATAGCAATATGTTTACTGATACATCTCCTAGGGCAGAGGAAACTAAAGAGAAAATAAACAAATGGGACTACATCAAAATAACAAGCTTATGCAGAGCAAAAGAAACCATCAACAAAGTGAAAAGAGAGCCCACTGCATGGGAGAATATATTGGCCAATGATACATCCGATAAGGGGTTAATTTTCAAAAATATATAAGGTACTCATACAATTTAACAAAAGAAAGACAAACAATCCAATTTAAAAATGGGCAAAAGACCTAAACAGACACTTCTCCAAAGTGGATATACAGAAGGCTGAGAGACATATGAAAAAATGCTCTAAGCTACTAATCACTCAAGGGATGTAAATTAAAATGACAATGAGGTATCATCTTGCACCTGTCAGAATGGCTATCATCAAAAATTCAACAAAAGACAAGTGTTGGTGCGGATGTGGAAAAAAGGGTGGGAATGCAGACTGGTGCAGCCACTGTGGAAAACAGTATGGAGTTTCCTCAAAAAATAAAAAATGGAACTCCCATGTGACCCAGTAATCCCACTTCTAGGAATATATCCCAAGAAACCTGAAACACCAAACAGAAAGAATATATGCACCCCTATGTTCACAATAGCACAATTTACAATAGCTAAGATTTGGAAACAGTCTAAGTGCCCATCAGCAGATGAGTGGATTAAAAAAACTGTGGTACATTTACACAATGGAATACTACACAGCAGTAAAAAAGAAGGAATTCTTACTATTTGCAACAGCATGGATGGACCTGGAGAGTATTACACTTAGTGAAATAAGCCAGTCAGAGAAAGGTTAAGTATCATATGATCTCACTCATATATGGAATCTACTGAACAAAATAAACTGATGAACAAAATAGATCCAGAGACGCAGAACCATGAACAGGTTGATGAATCTCAGAGAGAAGGTAGGGGTGACTACCAGGGAACTTATATGCATAGTCCATGGACACAGACAACAGTGTGGCGAAGGCTTGGGAGGGGCGGCTGCAGGGAAGAGGGGGTAAATGGGGAAAAACAACAACAACAAAACCCAAAGCAGACATCTGTAATACTTTCAACAAGAAAGATAAATTTTTTAAAAAGAACCAACCTTGGGGACCAGTAGATTCGCACAGCCAGAGTGCCCCTGCTGCTTCCTCCGGACACACAGTAAAAACATTCTGAGCCACCTAGGAACACCTGGCATTTCCTTTATAGCTGTGACTCCCCGTCTGTGTCAACTCACCTCCTCCAGCTTTTCCATTTATGTTCACTTTCAGATGGGGGGGTGGGGTGGCGGGAGGAATGCTCAAGAGAAATAGAACAAGAACAAGAGCAGGGTATGTTTGACCTGAGGGGTTTGTCTTTCCCTGTGTTGTGATAAGAAATCCATTACAGTGAAAACCAACCACGTGGACATGTCTCCAGGCCCCATCTTGCTTCAACTAGAAGAGCTCTACTTTGCTTTCTATTTTTACCCAAAATCTCAGTTGAAATCTGGGTTCCATGGCCAAAAAGTTTAAAAACAAATGATGTCAATGCAAGGCCCTGGAGCGGAAGTTAACAGGCCACCATCCTTATCTATATTTGGCCACAGAGAAGCCATGACTAACCCTGGGCGGGTCATTTAGCAACCTCAGGTTTCGGTTTTCTAATACATTTTGCCATATTCAAATATATACAGGGTAGGGCCAAGTAGGTTTACAGTTGTGAGTACATGAAACACAGAGTTTATTCTTATTTATTAATTATTGTGTTATTTTCCATATGAACAACTGTAAACCTACATGTGCCCCACCCTGTACATGCATATAATTCTATAAAAAGAAAGCAAAGATATGTTAGTGATCTCACCAAAGACAGTTAAAGAAAGCAAATAAAAATCCCATTTCTCACAGAAATAAAAGAATTAGGGTGAGGTATCTTATTGATGAGTGTACAAGAACCATCAGAAGTTATAGGTATTTCCTCTTAGTGCTCAAAATACTACCATGTGATTGGTCCTAGGATGTGAGAAATCGATTCCCTCAAAGATTTAAAAATTTGGGGTATTTTAATTTAGCCTGATGTAGATAATTGATGGGTAACAGCTCCATATGGGTTTATTAAGACACAGGCTCTAACCCTGACTTTATCACTTGATGTAAATTAAAGCAATCTGTATATTATATTGTGAGCCAATACCCAAAGTCAAACCTTCTTCCATCACCATATATTTATCATAGAATTGCACACGTGAAACCTATATAATCTTATTAACCATTGTCACCCCAATAAATTTAATTTTTTTAAAAAGGGGGAAAAAAGTAAAACAATCTCCTTTGACCTCAGTTTCTTCCGCCTTTCTCACAATTCTCAAATAAGGGACTATGTTAAATGATTGTTCATTTGCATATTACAATAAGAAAACATGGTTTATCTTATACCTTTATTTCTCATGGTCAGAAATGACTTTGTGGAATAGGTCACATGAAAAGGGAAATAAATTCATGGGAGAATCATCCATTAGGTTCCATTCACTAGTTAGGCATCTGAATGGAGTAGACTATTACATGGAATCTGATTCAGAACCTCCTTTCCACCAGGACTGAGTCAATTAAATAACATTATAATGAATAGCTCCTGATCTCAGGCTTAAAACAAAGAGAGAAAGAAAGAGATAGAGAAAGATTAAAACTAAAAAAAAAAAAATTTAATAAGGTGGAAGGTGAAAGGTCATATCTCCTAGAATAAGAGATAGCTAATTAGATGCAAGGTAACTGATGGAAAATTACTGGGTGAGCTCAGAGGCCAATACCAAAGGCTATAAAAGAATAAAGTATTATGTTTTATTATACCAATTGACCATTATATAATGCAGATTCAAAATTAGATAATAATATGATACAGATTAGTTTAAACATAAGCTATATTTAAAATACTTGGTGTTTAGAAAGGTCTTTCCTGAAATATTTAACATTGAAAAAAATTTCCCAAATGATCTGAAATTTTGTATCTTGATTTAGAGTTCATCTGTTCTGCTAGCGTTAATGTTTCAAGGCAGACAATTTACACTATCGAACAAGACTAGATGTCTCTGGTAATGGATCAGCAAGCCTACATTTAAATTTATTTATTTTTTCTGTGTAACAGGCTATTCCAGGTTTAATCCCAGACATGACACACACTCCTGAGCTAAATAACTTCTGAAAAGCAGCTGGTCATATGTTAGAACTCTGAAGCATTATTTATGGTTTCTTCCATTTGTGAACAGAATTTGTCTGTTCATTATGACTAATGATTAATACAGCTTTTCATCAAGTACAATAAAGATTTCCAATGAAAAACTGAGAATCTAAATTAATAGAAAACTCTAGGTTCTCTATAAAACAAACCAAACTTGAAAGCATTTTTCCTAAAGTGACATTCTAAACTCATAGGAAAGTTATTCAAAGTATAAGACTGCATATAAAGCACGGATTCTACCTTCAATGCCAAATTCAGTGAAGCACTATGTATTGTGGCTTCAAGGAATGTCAGAAAATTTTACAGTTCAAGTTTTTTTCTTAATTTTACAGAGATCCAAAAGTTAACCTAGGCCATGAGGCTATGATTTTGGCCATAAAGAAATCTCAATAGTTATTGAATAAGATGGTATCAGGTACTTATTTTTTACCACTGACCAGGGCTTTTAATCATTTTGAAATTAACTGTAGTACACAATGATGAAAACCTTTGGAGAGGTTTCTTAAATGATGCTATAATGATAATTTCTAAATTACAGTTCTCAAAGTCATAAAAGAATAGACAAATCATTTAAAAGTTCTTACCTATCTTTGGGTTTTCCTTCATTCCCTCACAGTTCTGCCCCCACCACTTAGGGAGTTATCTAGAGGCAAGAGGATATGAGGCCACTGCCCCGGTGCTTCTGAGAAGAGACTGGTCTTCCCAAATACTAACATGTTAATGCTAACATGTTAATACTAACATGTAAATACTAACATGTTAATACGCACAACCCCTTTATGGGGTAGGTACCCTTATCACCACCATTTGAGTTATGAGGAAGTGAAACTTAGAAATTCAAGTCCAGAGTTCACGTTCTTAGCTACTATGCTGATTGATTTTCCAAGATTCTGGTCTACTTTACAATTAGAAATGTACTAATTTTTTTCCTACTAAGAGCAATGAATTTCTCTTCCCCATGAGTCCTTCTGGGGAGAGATTCCAGCCTGCCCCCTCCCTCCAACCTTCCTCCCCACAGTTACCACGCAGGTTATAGTCTCAGTTCGCCCTTCCTTCCAAACATTAGCCAGCCCCACCTGCTAACACATGGTTACCAGTTCTGGCTCATCTGATGCCTTCAGTGGCTGAGAGGATGTTGATCCCACCTTCCAGTGACTTATAAGAGGAGCATTTCCTGGAAATATTGCAGGTGGACATTTCACTGTAATGAGATGTTCAGTGTCTGAATCAATCCTGTTGCCTAGAAACCTGTTCGTGTTTGGCAGGAGGAAGGTGACTAAGGCACAGGTACAGTCAGACCTCAAGCAGATACTTATTCAGCATGACCTGCTCCCAGCCCCTTGACGGTTGATTTCATGCTTAACCTTGACACTGTTGCTTCCCATATCACTCACTGTTAAGAGAGACTCCTTCCTTTCTTTTCAAGACGGGGAAATTCAAAAGGCACTTTAGCTGAAATATACGCTATATTGTTGTACTGACTGAATTCTGAAGAAAAGCTTTAAGACAAAAGATCATTACTTGACTCTTACATATGAAGAGAACTAAAATTATGTGGTGTCATAGAAGTAACCTGCCATCCCTATAAAACTCGGCTCTCTCTCATAAATTCAGTTAACCCTTTGCGGTCGTATTAAATTTGGACATGGGTGTTGTACTGGTCGGAATTAATTTCCATTGAAAGAGCAGTGATACATAACATGCAAGATTATGAAGGATAAACAAGATTTATTAATTCTTTTTTGAACATTAGATGTATGTTTAGACAATAATGTGTTTCAATAACATGTTTTTATGTAAAAATTGTATTTTATATTTCTCCATTGTGTGGTATCTTTGAAAGCAGTCTCCAATATGCAGTCCTGGTTTTCGACTACATGTATCGCAAAAATAATTAGTTTGGTGTCTTCCACCCCTAATCTTTCTGTTCGAACATACAGAGCAATCTTTACTTTTCACACCTTCACAGAGCCGCAATATATGCAGTTTCCCATTAAGCCTTTCATCTTTATCTGAGGCCGATGGTTTTCCTGCCAAAATAAAACTCTTCATCGTTACTTTCAGATTTGCAGTACACTTCTTTCGGTAACTTTCTTTTTGCCATTTTGGAGTATTATTTTGAAATATCTTAACAAGCGAGAATGCCTAATTACAGTTAAACATAATTTGTAAAGCTTTATTTGAAATTCTGCGAAGTATCTCAAAGCTTGTCGATTTCTTCACTCTCAAAAGGCGACTGACTCGCCACGGTGTTTTGCATGGCGAGTGTGGAACGACCGTGTTTGTTTATATTGAGTTTCGATATCTCCGATTTGTTGGGGCAATGTTTTGGTTCATGACAAGGTCGCTTAGACATTTAAGAGCTTTCAGAGAAATTATGAACTGATACATGAATGAATAGAGTTAAGATTCGTACAGTTCCTTGCTGTGGTGGCTGAGAGCAGACATACGACCGGAATGGTAAAAAAGCTTTGGTGGCTGAGAGTAGACAAACGACCCCAAAGGGTTAATATACTACATTCTCAAACAGCACTGAGTCACTACTTTTGACCTCAAGTCAAGAAAGAATGTTTTCAGGCAACTAGAGGGCTGACTCATGTGGCAGGCCACATTCAGGCCAGAAAAACTGTTATACACATACCTGCCTTTGCCGGAGTCCATTCATTGTCTTCACTAGCTGAGTTTAGACAGAGACCCCCCCAAAAGCTAGTAACCTTTGAAGTCCTAGCAAAGGTCAGGACTGTGCACCACCCAGTTAATCTAGGAACCACCCAGTTAATTTAGGTAATGGTAGTTGAAGCATCATCCCCACCTTAGTTCACTTAATTCCTTAGATACTTGTGTAGATCCTTGTTGATTATTGTTGATCAGATACTCTGCCTATTCCTGGAAATGGTCTACTGATGAGCTAATCAGATACTCTGTCTACTCCTGGAAATTGTCTGCTGATCTGTGTGTCATTGAAATCTCCTTACCTAAGGCTACTCCAAGCTCAACAAAAGACTGGAGCGGCCTGAGCATCGGTGGAAGTCCTTCTGGACTTGCCCGCCTGGTCCCCCAATATTTCCAAATTATCTCATGTCATTTTTCTCTCATTTGTGTGCGGCTCCTCTTTCAGATACCGAACCCTAATAAGGAAACACTCAACATGTCTCTCTCTTTCTCTTTTTTATTTGAGGGTGGGGAATAACAAGAAGTAATTGATGACCACATCTAAGTAGCTTCAGAATGGAGGGGTTTCACAATCAAATACCATAATATATATAAACATATTGCAGTTGGTCAAAGGTCATTTACCAACTTTTATTTTAAAACTTAAATTAGCATGCACACCTAAGTCACTCTAGAAGCCAAAAAAATCTAAAATAAAACACTCTAGAATAATAAAAAAAAAATGGCTCACATTCCATATAAATTCTCCACCAGTTATTGCTACTCCCCTAACAGTTTGGGGCTCCACTATTTTTCTTAGTCATTTCTATGCATTAAATATTCAAAGAAGGAAAAGTGGTTTAAACAAAAGCGAGCACATACACACATAGCAGATACTGGAGTTTTCTTTCTCTTTGTCCTCCTTTTCACCCATGCCTGCTAAAGACAAAATGTAAGAACTAAGGGTGTGCCTAAATGATACCTTATCTTAGTGGGAAAGTACTATATCCCAAATTTATGTAATACTTATAGACTGAAGGATACAAAGTAATTTAGAACACGTTTTTCTTCCCCTCACCAAACACTATCCATCCTAACACAAGGGTTCCAGTATGCCTGTATTAAATACTATTAAAAGTCTAATAGATGGACACTTCCAGTCAAGATGGTGGAGTAGGTCAATGCCGTACTCACCTCTTCCCATGACCACATCAAAATTATAACTAAACTATGAACAATCATCAGAGAATCACCTGAACTTCTGTTACAGAAGTTCTGTAACTAAAAATATATAGAAGCAGCAGCATTGAGACTTGTAGGAGGGGCACTGGTAGGATAGGAGGCGACATGGAACACCAGTGTGTGGTGGTTAAAAATCGGGAGGGGGGCTGCAGAGGTCCTCCTCAAAGGAGCAAGGAGTCCCAGACCCATACCAGGCTCTTCAGCCCAGGGTTTCAGTGCCAGGAAGAGAAGTCCCCAGTGGAGATTGTGGTTTAGTGCAGTGGTTGGCAAACTCATTAGTCAACAGAGCCAAATATCAACAGTACAACGATTGAAATTTCTTTTGAGAGCCAAATTTTTTAAACTTAAACTATATAGGTAGGTACATTGTTATTAACTTAATTAGGGTACTCCTAAGGCTTAGGAAGAGCCACACTCAAGGGGCCAAAGAGCCACATGTGGCTCGAGAGCCGCAGTTTGCCGACCACAGGTTTAGTGAGACAAAGGGCTGATGGAGTCCCAGGTGTTCCTCTTAAAGG